TGCCTCTCCATATCCCCTCTCATACAGATCTACACTTGTTCTGTTTCTCAGTAGAAAACAAACCAGCATCTAATGAATAATAATAAAATAAAATACTTAGAATGAGAACAAACAAACTGAAAGAGGACAAAAAGAACAGAAGAAAAAGAGTCAAAGAAAAAGCACAAGAAACACATATAGACACAGAGACACACATGTTCACACACACAGGAATCCCTTTCGTACAAACGCAAACCAGAGCCACAATGCATACTCAAAGGACCTGAAAGGTAAAAATAATGATAATAATAAAATAAATAAGTAATAAACTCCCTGATGCAACATTAAGAGACAAAGACCTTTCAGAGACGCCACTGGGTTCGTTTTGTGTTGGCCATCCATTTCCAGGCCTGTAGTGGGGCCTAACCTTAGTTTGTTTCTCCATGAGACTCCCTTGGAGAAAATTTTCATTTTCAAGTGGCTATCAATTAGAGATAGCATCTGGGGTAGAGATGCAGCATGTGTCCACTTCTCTCAGCTCATCTTGTCCAGACCCATGCAGACTGTATGCATACTGCCACAGTCTCTGTGATTTCCTATGTGTGGTGGTCAGTCTGCCGGAATCCAGTTCTGACCTGTTGAAGGATTCTTGGGGCAGAGAGAGGAATGAGGAAATATTAGATAGAAAAATAGGTGGAGATGATAAGAAAGACAGAGACACAGGATAGCTTCAGGAGGGCCCTGGATCAGTACCCAGTCACCTCGAGGTTTATACCAAAGGGGTTTTTATACAATGCCAAGGGACAAAGCAGAAGACCTCCTGCTTTTCAAGATCAAAGCACAACATACAGCCAAGTGTAGACCCTTCAAAACACCTGGTAACTACACCCATGGCCACATCATCCCATTATGCATCCCTGCTGGGTAAAGCAAGCTCAGATTCTCTGACATTGAGTAAAGTCTCACTAGGGAGCCCCTGTGGGCCTCCACAATCCCCCCTTCTTAATGATGTAAATGTCTCAAGTGAGGGTTCAGAGCTTAACTCTATGCAGCTCTGAATCAGCTTTCAATTAAGAGCTTGCAAGTAGCTGGAATAATCATAGCAATAGACCTGCTCCTTATGACTGCTGTACCTCCTAGTAAAGGAGTAGAGGATGATAACGATGGAATGGCCTTTTGTAATGTGTCTAAGATGTCTATAACAGTCTTAGCTGCATCAAGCCCTTTTTAAATCAATAAATCCCTGATGCAACCACATCAAATAAATCAATAAACTCCTAATGCAACCCATTACATCTAAGGACTCCTTAGCATCACCATACCATGGTTCATTAACATTAACAGATTAATGTTCTAGTATGAATATTACTATACACAATTACAATTCTCACAAACATATCCAAAAGCAAACTCTTAATAGAACCATTTATACTTCATAAACGTTAGCAAACATCCGAAAACAATTTCTTAATAGAACTTTCTGCATTTTTTGCTAACAAAACTTCGAGTACACTAATACAGGCTAACATTATCCATACAAAGAACAAGAACACATTTTTGCATTTGAGCTGCTCCAGTCCAGCAGCAAAAAGCTTTATGCCAACTCCTACTCATCAGAACCTTTTTTTTTAAAATTAAGTAGATTGAGGAATATAACAACTCCCCCTTACTATATATTTTTTGAAGCTTCATCTTGCACCTGGGTAGAAAAAAACAAACTTCTCTATTCCTACACAAAACATTTTCATTTCTACACAAAACAGTTTGTGAGTCATCACAGTTGATAATGTATATATATGCATAAGTGAAATCAAAACTGTCCCATTGTAATCAAACCACTCCTGTCCATCCCATTTCTTGAGTTTGAAAAGTTAAAAAAGCCAGTTCTGATACCAGTCTTAATGTTCCACTGAAAGCTCAAGATCAGGGCCTTACTCACCAGCTGCCCCGAAGTCTTTGTATAGCTGTCCCTGAAATGCACAGCCAGCTGGGAACACTAAGACATGGAGATGCCTGCTCTCTGGCCTGCTGAGTGCACACCCTGCAGGCACCTTTCTCCAGAGGCTTTGTCTCTCAAGTAGTGGCCAAGGCACCCTGCACACTCACCCTCCAGCTGCCTGCTTGGCTCTCCACCTACGCTCTCCTGGAGTGTCCCTTGCTCAGCTCTGGTCACCAGGGACTCTGGCTCCAGGTGACCAGTCTGCTCTGGCTGCTGGGGTCCGAAGCCTTCACCACCACTTGTATAACTTCTCTGCCCTGGCTCATCAAGGCCAAGGAGCTAGCCTCCAGCCATGCCAGTCCGGGGCTCTCACAAGCACCCTGGCTGACTGTGCTCTCCTCACTGTGGCTCCTTCATGGCAGAAAGCATGCAGAACCCTCCTGCTTCCACTGACTCTCTCAGCATCTGCTGCCTGTGACACCATGATACCCCTCAGATCTCAGCTCCTAATGCTTGCTTGGTCAGCCACTGCTCCAGCTGCTGCTGCTGCTTGCAGTGGGGGCTTCTAAAACTGTTGCTCATTCTTGGACTGCTAAGTCTAAAGTGGCTGCTCAGCCCTGGATGCTGCTTTCTGCATCCTAGGTACCACACTAGGGAAAATTGACTCCACTCTAATATACCTAAACCTGCATTTCTCAAACTTCACCAAAACTTTTATGACTTACTTATATACAACTTTAGACCTAACAGTAGATAGATGATAGATAGATAGATAGATAGAGAGAGAGAGAGAGAGAGAGAGAGAGAGAGACAGACAGACTTGCTGCAGCCTACTATTACCCTGTTCTATATTTACAGTTTTATTCCTGAAGAAGAATATCACCGCACCCCAATTAATTATTGAGCATGCCCACTTAACCTGTGGTGTTCCTTCTCTTTTATCCTTCGTACCCAAGTTCCACATCCAGGTGCCATATGTGGGAGTCTGCTGGAGTCCAGATCCGACCCGTCAAAGGGTTCTTGGGTGGAGGAAAAAGAAATGAGGAAATGTTAGATTGAAATATAGGTAGAGATGATAAGAAAGACAGAGACACAGGATAGCTTCAGGAGGGCCTTGGGTCAATACCCAGTCACCTCGAGGTTTATTCAAAAGGGATTTTTATACAGTGCCAAGATCAAAGCACAACATACAGCTAAGTGTAGACCCTTCAAAACACCTGGTAACCACGCCCATGGCCAAATAAATCACGCCATTATGTAGCCCTGTTGGGCAAGCAAGCTCAGATTCTCTGACCTTGAGTAAGGTCTCACTAGGGAGCCCCTGTAGGCCTCCACACTGTGTTTAGCAGGCCTTGTTTTCTTGGTGTTCTCCATCCCCTCTGGGTCCTACACTCTTTCTGCTTCCTCTTCCTCATGGAATCCTGAGCCCTGAAGGGAGGGATTTGATGGAGACATCCCAGTTAGGGCTGAGTGATCCAAAGTCTCTCACTCTGTGCACATTTTCGGGACAAGTTATTTAACCTCTGTGTGTGAGTTTCCTCAAGGATCACATGAGGAAAATATGGATGCCTATCATGTATGAAATTTGCAAAGAGGAGGTGATTACTATTTTATCTGATAGTAAACACTCCATAAGCTTTTGTTTACAAATCTGTGGTGTATGTGTGTTTTCGTATGTGTGAAATTTGCTTTATGTCTGAATGCATGGTTATGTATTATGATTCTTGATTGCAATTAATGTTTACTTGACAGATGAATATTGTACAGCATATTATAATTATGTCTAGAAAAAGAAAAATGCCGTACTATATTTATATGATATGTAATCATTTGTAATGTGTGGAGGCTCACAAACGTTTCCTAGTGAGATCTGAGCTTGCTTCACCCAGAAGAGCTGCATTAGAGGATTGCTTGACCACATGCATGGTTACCAGGTGTTTGAAAGGGTCTGCACTTGGCTGTGCTGGGCGAGGTCTTTTGCTCCACCCCTTGGCAGTCCTTTAAAAAGTCCTTTAGAAGAGACAGAAGGGGCTGGTGGATGAGGATACAGGCCCTCCCGACCTATCCTGTGTTTCTATCTGTCTTCTTTCCCCTCTATTCTTCTGTCTAAATATTTTTCACTTCTTCCTCCTCAAGAGTACCCTGGAGTAAAAGTGGGAGCATATCTCCCACAATAATGCATGCATTAGAATTGTTGAATTATGTTTTTGATCTGTGAATATCCTTTGACAACTTATCTGTCTGGCCCCCTTTCTTCTCTCAAGACCATTCATTATTTTCATTTTGCACATCACTACAGTCATGGGAATCCTATTCAAATTACGGATTTACTGAACAGCGGGACAATTCTTCTTATCTTAGAATCCTGGATTGTATTGCAGCCTTCTAATTGTTCTCATCATTTGGAAACACCAAGTGCCCTGGGTGAACACTTTTCCTAGAGTTAGAGAAGTTACCCTGTTGATATTGTTAATGCTCAGTTCCAGGCCGGCATCGTTGGATTGGGTGTTTGTCCTCTCATCGCCCACCATACTTACAAAGGTCTGTCTGTCCAGCACATTGCCTTGGTGATTCTCCATATTCTTACTGTGTGATCACCGAGGACTGATATTCCTAAAAGGCTTCTGTTGTTCTCAGTTTTATTAGAATGCTTCCTGGGCTTAGTTCTCAAAGATTATTTAATTTCTAAATACCATCTGCTTATATCATTCTTTACATCCTTGTTCTAAGAAATCCTTTCTGGTCAGTTACAGTTAAAAAATGCCTACTTTCTTTTTGTGTCCTGAGCAAGCAGATCACTTCTGGATTCTTAATATATGAGAACTGGAAGGTCCCTCACACAAATCAAATCCCAAATTTATAAACAGGTGAGGTTTTCACAGGGTTTACTAAGGCAAGTACCCAGGGTTATAGTAAGTGAAAATGCCACTTGGTCCCTAGCACAATTTGTTACTTGGGCATTTTTTTTTCCTTTTGAAAGGAAAATGGTGCAATGTGCTTGAGGTGCATGCAATTGAAATTTGGTAAAAATTGTATGGTTGATTTCAATGTTCGTTTATATATTTTCTTTTACTCTTTGCAGTTTAACAGCAATGCTCAAGATGTAAGCTGCTTCCAGCACCTGGTTCAGGCAAACGTGAGAAACAAGAAGGTGTTGAAAGATGCCGTTAATAACATCACAGCCAAAGGGATAACGGATTATAAGAAGGGCTTTAGCTTTGCATTTGAACAGCTGCTTAATGTAAGTGTCAATAAAAAAAATTCTATTTTGTCTGTTTCTAGATATTTTGATAAAAATCACTGATCATCATTGGGATTTGCAAACAGGTTCTATTCAAATATAAGAGCTGTGGTTAAAGGTGACACATGTGTTAGTCAATACTTGGGTTTCTATTCCTTCATTAGAAGCTTTTACTGTCTCTGTCCTAATGGGCTTGTCGATGTGCAGAGATAAAATGAAGTAGGATCTTGTCACCAGTTTAGGGAAATGTCTCATTAATTTTTGTACCAAAAGAGGGGCTTTATCGTCCTTGAAAAAGAAGGGTATGGACCTTTGGTAGGCTACAGCCCTACAAACTGATTATTGATATTAAAAAAATTATTGCTCATTTCAAGGTCAAAGCTGATGATCTCAATTACAGGAGGTCTTCAAGGACTTTGGAAGATGTCCTACTTGAATTGCATCAAATTGCACACTGATGTTTGAAGACATTGATAGAAGAACATAGTGTATATTTTCTCACTAACTTTATATTTATTTCATATTGAAATGATAGTACTTTGAATGACTAATTTAAATGAAATCTATAACTAGAATTAACTTATTACTCTGCTTTAGGAGGCCTGTAGAAATTTTTAAATTATGTGGTAGGCTCACATTATACTTCTTGTAGATAGCAGTAAGCTAGAAGGTTGACATTTTCAAAGAAGCTGAGCATTCAGAAGTTAGTGCAATCCTTTTTTCTCATCATTTAAGCAAACACATTCCATAATAGTAGAAAAGCTAAGATTATAATTTGATACCTCCAAGAAATCTAACTTGCTAAATTAAAGTGTTCATTTTAATGGCCCTCTGATGCTAATTCATTATTTTGTGCTCAGTTTTTCGAAAGACCTTAAAGGTTAAGAGGATTTATTGCTGGAATTGAGTCTTGCAGGATTAGAATCTGTGTAGCAGGTCAAGAGAGGACAGAGCTGGGGTGGGGGGGTGTTCAGGGAGTCCCATCATTTATGGAGCCCTGAGGAGCACTATGTGAGGGACAATGCATGAGTCTGTCCTCCCAAAATATAAGGCAAAAGAAATAGGATACCAAAGAGGGAAGAACAGAAAGATTATTTGGAAAAGGATTGAAAGGTTAATGGGAAAAGTGTGAATCATTTGAAGTGAATGTTACTTGTTTGCTTCTGCTATAAAATTATAAAGGTATGTAGAAGAAGCATTCACTCTTACAAAACCCAAACACTAATCAGTTACTGGGGTATTATGTACCAGGTGCTGCCTAAATACCACATTGTCTTACTTTTATGGAGCTTGTATTCATTTAGGAAAAACTGACACTATACAAATAAAATGCTGACCATATGCAAAATCAATTATGAAGAAAATATAATCTGGAGCATATTGCAATTTAAAACACATTGGTCTGGGAAGGTGTCCCTGACAGTGACATTTGACTATCTAACTACTAAGGCTGGGCTGATCCACAAATCTGATTTTAGAATATAATACTGGGCAGACGTTTTGTTTGTAGGATGTAATATGAGCATACTTTTTTCATATTGGTTTTCTTTTCCGAATTTTCATTATGGATAATTTGCATATATACATATTTTTGACAGTATAATGTTTCCAGAGCCAATTGCAACAAGATCATCATGTTATTCACAGATGGAGGAGAGGAGAGAGCCCAGGAGATATTTGCCAAATACAATAAAGACAAAAAAGTGAGTGTTGTTTTCTAATATCTTAATTTTAACATGTAGATGATTTTCATAAAGGTAGTCTATAATGGGGGTGAACAGAACTTTTTTCTCCAAAATATTAGTTGTAGTTATAAAAGTAATATGTTAATGGTGAAATAAAACTTTTTCGGGTAACCAAGCACCAAGCTATAAATACATTAGTCTGATATTGTAGATTTATAGGGTACATTGGATTCTTATATCAACAAATGAGAGAAATAAAAGGAGTTTCAATCTTTCTTGGATAAAGCTTTATGTCTCCTAATCATTGAAACTGGTAGGAAGACTCAGTATTCTAAATACACCAAGAAATTTCTACAGTGATATTTTAGATTGATGTAAAAATAACTCACAATAGTAAACAGATGCAGCCTGCTTGAAAATGAGTTCAGTGGAAGGCTCAAGATGAATTCTTTGATTAGTATAATAAATTAAAGAATGCTATCTCTAAAACCATGGACAGTATGAAGATCAGTGTTTTACAGTTGGAATATGTTCATTTCCTTGTTTGTGGTACTACAGGAGGGATGCAGTGTGGTTACAGGGTCATGCTGTGGAGATAGTATTAATATATTACTAAAACCTATTAAGACTGTAACTGCTTCATCTAGGAATCTTACCAAGAGTTTACATATATTTTCTTATTGACATCCCATATTTATAATAGACACTGATTCTCAATCTATTTTCCTAAAACGCTAAAGGACCACCTTAAAAGTCATGGGGGAAGATGCAATGTCTCTCCTGTGCTTTAAAAAGTTATACATTTATCCTAACAAAGACTACATCCATCTTCAGCCTCCAGGTAGCTGTGTCTGTAGGTGTGCATGACCATACCTGGCTTTTTGATCAACAGTTTTACTGTTTGGGACGATTTGCCTCAGCAGTAGCTCCAATCGATTGTTTTATAGCTATTTGAGGCGTGTGTGGAGTTTTTGCATATATTAGAGAGAAAAACTACAGGTAGTTGATGATTGCTTGTAGAGGGAGAATCAGTCTTTATAGTGTACCCAGGGGTCCCGGGGTTTAGTTACATCCAGAGTGGGATATCTGAGGGAAAAAAATCTATGTACACTATGTTTTTATGTCTGTTAACTTTATTTCTCTAAGACAAAATTCTATCAATTCAGCTACAGCTGCTCCAGGCATTCAAGGCAGGAATAACTCTAGACATCCAAGCTCTATATTCGTCTACTTTATTTCTCTGGGATGAAGTCCTGTCTCCATAACTACAGTTCCATCCAGTTCACTAGCTACAGTCTTGTTAACGACTAAACTATGCTTCCAGCCTCATTTTCATCCTCTGTATCCTCTTTCTCCATCTCTGCTGCTCTTTACTCCTGGCACTCAGAAAACTCTACTCGAGATCTGCTTACCCTCTACAGAACCTCTGTCTTCCTCTCTTCTCTCTCGCCATGCTGTTCTGTCCCTTTCTACAGCAAATGCCTGCCCTTTCTTTACCTGGGCACACGGTTCTCTGCCTCCTCAGGAATGTTGTTTTACTTCCCACCTTGGTATGTAAAAACCTCTTTTGAGAGTTCAACCCTAAACACATATAAGCAAAATTGAATTATTTTATCTGGTTGTATTTATAAACATGGGTGTGTGTGTGTGTGTGTGTGTGTGTGTGTGTGTGTAAATTATAAATAAAGAATAAGAAACCATGAATTTTAGAAGAAATGGGAGCAGCACAAGAAGGATAGAGGAGAAGTGATGAATCATGATGTAAATACAGTGCTCATATATGAAATTCACACAAAAAAATACATTTAAAGAAGCTGTTTCTTTGTTGATTGCTGTTCTATTCAAAACATAGGCTATAAGGACAAGTCGAGTCATGTTCTGGCAAATAGACAAGTAAACCATGCCACCTACTATGGTGATATTTTATTTGTATTAAAATGTTATTTGTATGTTAATAAATAAAGTTGCCTGGGGGTCAGAGCTATTAGCAAGCCATAGGAAAGCTGGGCGGTGGTGGCGTACGCTTGTAATCCCAGCACTTGGTAGGCAGAGCTAGGTAAGTCTCTGTGTGTTCAGGGATACAGCCATTATTGGATACACATGCCTTTAATCTCAATACCAATCATAGAAGACCTGGAGGTCTGTACAGAAAGGCAGTGATGAGGTGGTCATGTGGTTGGGTTTACAACCAATGAGAAGGCAGAACAGAAAGTCTATATAAAGACAAACACTCAGGAAGTAGCTCTCTTTTGGAGAGGTAGGACCACTGCAGGAGGAAGGGTAAGGTTTTTGCTCTTAGCTCTGACCTCTTGGCTTTCTTCTTTGCATTGGTTCTGTGTTTCTTATTTAATAAGATGGTTGGTTACATCTACAGCCTACATGCTAGGAAATGCTAGTTAGCCTCAACCAAAGGGAACTCTGTAGTATAGAACATGCTCAAACTTTGACATCATGCTTAGTGAAATAAACTTTTTACATACACACATGCAAAACAGTGAATATTATGTTTGCATTTGCATGAGAAATCTGCAATAGTCAAGTTCACACAGCCATGAAGTTGCCAGGGACTGGAAAAAGGAATGGATAATCATCTCCTTTTGCGTCTGTGAGCACATAGCTGAAGTTTCGCAACATGATTCCATTTAGCTGCATTGCAGCACTGCAACTGTAAAAAAGTATGTCATTTTTGAGTTAGATATGTTTTTACAACTTCTTTTATTTTTTGGAGCTTATTCCATCCTTTCTCCTTCCACTTCCTAAGGGGATATTGTGAAAGAGGAGGTAGAAAGTGTGTAAAAGCCAGAAGTTGAGGGAGCTTGATTAGTAATGGCGAAGCCTCACTTCTAAGTTCTCACCAACATGGCGGCTCAAACATGAGCTCAAAGTATGTCTTCTTAAAGGCTAGTTGAGGGTATATCTCATGCAGTGTGATTTTATCTCAATAATGCAAAAATTAAACATATAAAATTATCAGTCCTTAAAAATTTGTGATCATTAAAAAGCAACCTGAAAACTACCATTTTACTTGAACTTTTTCCTCCAAACTGCTTTGACATTAACATGGCCAATGGATGCCTCATTTACATTCCCTTTCCATCTAGATGACTCAAAAGTCATTTCCAGCAGCCCAGGTAGGTGCGATGGGATGTCTGGACAGCTGATGAATGAGTCTGTGGATAAACAGCACAGTTTAATGAAGCCCGAAGCCTTGAGAATTAGAGCAAAATGTTTGGGCTCCTTTTATGGAATGTCCTACTCTTGGGAATCAATCTACCTGATTAGAGATAGGCAGAGATTTAAAACCAAATCCATGTTAGTCTCCTGGAGCAGCTGTTCCAAATTAAAACACATTAGCTTTCTAATCTTTACCTGCAGCAGGGACATTCCTTTGGGCTCACCCATGTGTATGAGAGAGATCTCCTTAAGAGTGGTGCCAAAACTCAAATGAGCTCCATCGACGAGCACAAATAAATGAGTAAAGGAGAGGAAAGCCAGACGTACGCTTGAAAGGTAATTCCCAGGACTAGTAAAACCAAACAGATTGGCTGTGCTCTAGGCTAGCAATGCTTGCTTGATTGGCAATACACACTTCAGACTACCTCTTCAGGTAGAAAATAATCTCTCCTGTCTCACTTAACTTTCAGAATTTAATTTTTAAAAAAGGCAATCAAAATTAATAGAGTGAACATTTCGAAGTATCTAAAAAGATTAAAACACGGGTGTGAAATTGTTTCTAAACTGAGAAATGTTCAGCTAGTGTCAGAATTACTTGACGATGTCCATTGTTGTAGTCTGTTTTAGCAGTTTACTTTTAAGTGTGATGGAGAACTCTTTCCTGAATTACCATTGCATCTCAGTAGAAAGACATTCTCTTCTGTGTGCAAAACTCTAAACCAAGTCCAAGTGTCTGAAGTGCATTTGGATTGTAGAGTAAAAAAAAAAAAAATCTTTTTTTTAAACTGACAGGAAAGAAATTCACAGGAAATAATTCATCTCATTCTCTACTTTCTTTGTGCCCTCCTTCTGCATCAGGTAAATTAGAGCCTTTGTAAGGAATTCCTCTGACATAAGTAATTAAGGCTGTTTAGCTTATAAAATGTTGTTTAGCTTATAAAATATTGACTGTCACTTACCAATTACATTGCTTCTAAAATCTTTTATTTTGGATATTTTTGCACTTTCAACCAGTTCTAAGAGTTAAGCATTGGAATAAGAACCATATACCTTTGTTTATAAATCCCAACGTGGTTTATGCTAGAGTTAGGACACAGTTGTAACAATGACATACTGGCCTGCCCTATGGAGAAATGATCAACTGAAATGGAGTGTTTTGTGCAGGGAATGTGTGCTTGGGTATGCATGTACATTTTTGGCTCTGAAATCATTTGTTTCTCATTTATTTCTCTCAAAATAAAATTAGCATTGACAGTTTATTCTCTACACTATTAAAATACTTACCAGGTACATTTTGCTCAGATTTGAGGAATATCACCTTCACATACTTTAGATTTTAATTCAATTTATAAATAAATCTCATGCCAAATGAAATTATTACCTTACCCACTGAGTATATGATATAATATATAAACTTTAGATACATACAGTGCACTTGAACTATGTTTCAGGCACCATTATATTCTGTCAACATGGAATCTTCCATGTTTAAGACATTGCTAGGAGTGGCTATTGGTTTTGCTGTTTCCATGTTTCCAGTACTTCTTGTTTTTCTTCTATTGCTCCAGATGACCACTTGCATTATATCCTGACATGTTACCTTGAGCCTTTATTTAGTGAAGTAGGGTGGTATGGTATGAATTTGTAAGCCTACTAAGGAATTCATAGCCAATTGCATAGTGCCTGACTCACAGTAGTTTCTCAGTCTTTACAAGTATGACATGCATATACTGAATACATTTCTAAAATATGATGACATCACAGATATCAGAAAACATTCAGTAGACTTGTAATCATTTAAGTGGATACTGTTCAAATAATATTTCCCCTTGTGATTTGAGTTT